AGAGAAAAAATGTATTATTTAAGAATAAGATTTTTTTTAAATAAAAAAAATAATTTATTTTTTATATTGAATATTGTATTTTAATTTAATAATTAAGATAAATTATTATTTTATATTTTTATATTATTTTATTATTAAAAATAAATTATAGAAATAAAAGATAAACATATAATTTTTAAGTGTATATAAAATGTTTTTTTATTCTAAAAATAAAAAATAAAAAATTATTTTTCATTTTTATTATTTTGTAATAATTTAATTTAAAATAAAAATTATCATTCTTTGGAGAATAAAATTAAGAATAATTTATAAATATTTTTTTATTCATCAATATATTAAAAACAAAAACAAAATTTTGGTATAACGTCAACACAATAAATTTCATTATTAACGTAAAATTTCCACTCTTTCATGAATTTCACATCATTTAGAAGTTAAGGACAAAATCATAACAGATAAGAGTTCCAGAGCGAATAATACATCGAACATGAAAATCAATCCTAACAATGCTGGTATAAAAGCAAAGAATACTTTGGATATGAAAATTGATCATAATAATATTATTATAGAGAACATGAAATCAAACACTCTTGTTTTTAGATGCACTAATACAAAATAAGCTTTTTACGTATGTTATTTTGACTGTTTTTACGTTAAACATAAGTCTTACGTTAATATATGAAACGTAAAGTGATGTCGGTCATAACCAACGTCAATTTATGTCTGACAAAGCACGAAACAAATCTAAATGAGTTTTAAAATTTTTAAAAATTAGACGAAATTTACATTGAATCAAGGTCACAACAAACATAAATTTATGTTGACCAGGGTCATAACAGACGTAAAATTTATCCTTTATTTAATATTATATAATTTTAAACAAATTTAGAATCTCTTTCTTTAAAGACAATGATCATAAGGATAAATATAGAATCATATATAGTAAAAAATGAGTAAGTTTTAAAGAATGAGTACTCGACTTTGTTTCTTAAGATGATAGGTTAAATGAGTATTATCCTCATCAAACTGAACAAGATTGACTAGTAAGTGGATGTGAGAAGATCGATATATTAGACTTCATACTATTACGCATTAGACAAGAGTATATATATTATAATAATATAATATTTTTTTCTATTACATGTGCTCACGAACATATTTTGCAAAAGTTGTAGGTATTTGCCCCTCTCTTCATCATTTTTCCCCATCATTTTCATATATTGTGCGCCAAAATCTAAGATGAGAGTCAAAACTTATCATTCTTTCCAACCCACAACTTTACTTTTCTTTACATCCTCGTAAAACCCTAAACCCTGTATAATATAATGTAATATCTTCCTACTTACTCATCATCAAAAATTTAAATTATATACAACCAACAAAAAACGTGAGATTCAAACAATTATACAAGTAAAAACATAAAAATGCAATGTATAAATTGTAAATCTATTCAAATGCATAAACGAATAATTACAAACCACACAATTCAATTTCAACAACAATCCAATGGAAATTGAAATCTCCATAAACAATCACGAATTGGATTTGAACATAAAAAAGAAGACATAAAACACTAACATCAAATAACGCTCTAAAACTTGAATTCAATTAGAGAAAAACGTCAAACATCACAAACGAGACACAATATATATATATATATATATATATATATATATATATTTTATCATTCACTATAATCAAAATGTACCTTAGAGAAAAAGTTGATTTGGTTATTGTCATTATCATCGTTTCAAACTCCTTAACCATGAAAGAAAAAAACTCCTAAAACAATTAAAACACAATTTTTATATCAAATCTCATAAAAAAATTATGTTATTATTTATAACAATGCTACCACTTTTTTAAATCAATTATTTTTTATTCTAATAAAAATTAAGAAACCTAAAAATCTCATTTTACAATAAAAGAATAACGTAAAACTGTCATTTTACAATAAATGAATAACAAATTTGAAATATATATATATATATATATATATATATATATATATATATATATATGATTTAACTTCGAAAGTTTTGTTTATTTATATATTATACATTGATTTGGGTTGGTGGGTGTCTCATTTATGATCTGAAATGTGCTTTATTTATTGATTCTATTTGTTTGTTTATTTATTTATTCCCATATTTTGTTATATACAGCGTGGATCTCCATGTAGCTGTAGCTGTACATGGCCCAGCCAGAGAGACAACTGCCTCCCATATTTCTCATCATTGCTTCAGAAGTTTCATACAGTGTTTTCGATCATACACACGGAAGATTCAATTAAAAAAAAATAAAAATTACTTTTTAATTTTATCATTTATTTTTTTAATCTAATAATTTTAAATGATAATGAATTCAAGAAAAAAGGTTGTCTTTTATAATGATGAGGTCAAACTTGGAAAGCAAAACCAATGTGAAGAGTTTTCACAATTGCATGTCACCAAATTGGTCTTCTAGGAGTGTTGACCAAGTCAAGTGACACACTTAACACAAGTCTTGATAATATTGGTGAAGTCCACTGGCGCGTGATTTGAAAGGATTATCTATACAAAAGTGCTTTTATTGTCATAATTATTGTATGTCTCATGTATACACAAACAAACAAACGGTGAGGTCAATGTTAATTTAAAGTTTCCTGTTATGGAAATTAATATGATGTCAAAGTCATCTCAAAATTATCAACTTTTCTTTTCCCATAAACGTACTTAAATTTTTTCGCAATATATACATAAAAAATTAGTAATCCTTTAGATTTGATATTGAAAGACTACGTATATTTTCAAGTTTTTTTAGGCTTATGACAAAATTAGTTAAATCATAAGCTTCTTCATAAAATTGTTTTTTTCAATAGCATGAAGTACCCTTAATTTACAGTCCTCGACCTAAATTTATGTTGGATTCTAAAAATACTTATTGAAATAAATGGTTTAAATAGTGGACACATCTAATGATAAACACACGAAATAATGGATTTTTTATAATTTTTTTAATCAAAGAGGATAATGAGTCATCCTCTTGCATCATAACTGAGTAAATGGTACTAGAGGTGTCTAAGTACAGAAGCTAGCAATATTGTATGTTATATCACGAGTCAATTTCGACCATGACCTAGCTATTGAAATTATTGGTTATAAATAGCCTTATAATTAAGACACAGAAATTTGAAGAAGTTGTTGTGTTCTGTATATTGACAAAAGAAATTAAGATATTGTGGAATGGCAATAACATACGACTCATGTTCCTATATATGATTCTTCGGTTGGGAAGTTATTTCAATACAGGTGTAGTTCTAATCATGCATTGAATATGATAGAACTAAAGAGAAAGTGTTCATATATATGCTTTGTTTTATTTATGTTGGCGTAGTTTTGCTTTAAGTAATTCAAACTTTAATTTGTGTATTAGCTAATGCCCCATTTTGCCCTAGGACATAGGTGTACTCTAAATTCTAATGGCTTAGGTTTGTTTTAATTTGGAATTATATAGCCTTCTTATACTACTTCTTCCTCTAATCCTTCTTACGCTGTTCCTTAGAAAACAAATGAAATGGAGACATTTTTTTTTAATATTTGAATGTTTTTATATACATACCATATTATACCTCAAACTATGATTAATTGTTACTGTTTGTTTTAGTGACGGACATGAAATCAAGGATGAATGTAGATGACACATAGTAAAATTTTAGGTTTTAATCACTCTTTAATAAAAAAAATATATTTGGAAAGGTATTGTTATTTCTTTTGTCGTTGACTAAAATGTCAACGCAAGCTTGTATTTGAAAGGTTCTTTAATGGAAGTAAAACATTGCAATGAACATTGATTGAATGTTCTTAAATTTATGCTTCACACTTCTTTTAATGCCTTCTTATTGAAATAGATATCGTAGGTGGAAGATTTATTATGAAATTTAAATCTTCTTTCTTCGGTCTAGGCGTTGGTAGGATGTGGATTCCACACAAGTCACGATAGAACAACTGATAGGATTCAATGAAGAAAGGGATTTCGTGCACTTTATTTCCCACAATAAATGTTTTGGTTCATAAACAAAAGATTGGATGCATCTTTGAGACTTCAGAGTTTCTAAAGAATTTAATGTTTGTATTCCATCCCAAGTTTTCTTCTATTTTCTTTCACGCAACTGAAAAACCAAAAACCTGCTTCTGTCAGTTAAAAACTCAAGCAAACAAAATGTGTGAAGTTTATAACATATATATGCTCAAATAAATTGTAATTTTGATTATAATATAATAAAAAAAACTATCATTTTTTCTGTAAACAAATATAACCCATATTCTTTATATTAATTAATAATATAATTAGTTTACCTTGATAAAGGTCATGATATAGTACATTTATCTTTAGTTAAAGCCGTAAATCAAATAATATTTGATAGCTCTACAGTTATAATTTAGATATAATATACTATTTTTGAATTATATCAAATTATAAAATAAAAATATAACGAACTATTTTTTCAAAATTTTTATTTTTATATTAATTCCAATTAACCCATTGAGTGTGTAAATCATATTGCAAGGGAAAACAATGTACAATTTTTTATTTTCTAAAATATAAATTTTATCAAGTTAAGATATAAATTTCTTCTTGTTCCTTCAGAAAATCACTGTGTTAGGTTAAGTCCAAGAAGAAGAAGAACCTATTCTACACATACCGATAATACAGTTAAAATAAGATCCTTGCTCTTCCCACATTCCCTTTTTCTAAGTTTACCCACCATTTTTTATTTTTTTTCTAAATAAAGTACTCTTAAGAAGAATTCTCCAAGAATTTCATAGGGGTGCAGGAAGAAGCTCTCAGTTCTGCAATAAAATAAGAATTTGGCCCAATAGTGACAGGCCCATTAAATAAAGATAGTAGCCCAATCACATCAACGGTCGGTGTTCGTAGAAACGTAGAAGACCTTTGGCACACTATTGTTGATTCAATTGAAGAAAACACTGTCACGGAGTTCCGAGCGAGAAAGGGACATGGCGACTCTTGATTCCGACGTGCCAATGGTTCCCGCCGGCGAGCCCTCCAGCAGCGCCGGCCCATCTTCCAAGAAGCCCAAGCGCTTCGAGATCAAGAAATGGAACGCCGTTGCACTCTGGGCCTGGGGTATTTATTTTTCTCCTTAAACCCTAATTTTTCCTTTTCTTTTTTTCTTGATTTTGGAGATTCACTGTTTTTTCTTCTTCTTTTTTGCAGACATCGTTGTCGACAACTGTGCCATCTGCCGGAACCACATCATGGATCTCTGTAAGCGCGTTCTTTCAATCGAAAACTGTTGTTGTTCAATTTGAAGCGTTTCGTTCCGCTTTTGAAATTTTGGTCACTGATTTTAGGCATCGAGTGCCAAGCCAACCAGGCTAGCGCCACTAGCGAGGAATGCACTGTGGCTTGGGGTATGTTTCTGATTCGCTTTAATTTCTGATTTCATGTGAAGTACCTTTTAGAACGTTCTATGTTTATCTGTTGTGTCATCTTAGGATTGAGGAAAGTAGATATGATTGTAGGAATATTATATTTATAGTTTAATTTTAAAATTAGAAAATATTCTTTAGTTGGAGTTCTTCAATCTCTACTTCAAAGACATGTATTGGGAGTTTGGTTCTACGTAAAGAGAGGTTAAGTTGTTGCTGTAATGTTCAAATTGGTCATGTTATCATTAATATTGGCAAATTAGCTATACTTCACCTATAGAACACAACAACCAATGGGTATAGAATTTGATTCGAGAGTCAAAACTTTTATCTTAAGGGAAGATAGCTTTTGATCCTCCAATTCTTCCTGGTGCTTTTTGTGGTATGTTGTGTCGGATAAGGTTGTTATTGGGCGGGTAACTGTTGTTATATCTGTTGAAAGTCCCACATCGCCTACCTCATGTCATTTGGTATGGTTTAAATACATGTTAGGCTACTCCACATATTGCCAATTGGTTTTATGTTGAAATCTTAACATGGTATTAGAGCGGGTTCATCCCGCTCTGCCTGTCTCTGTTTTTTTTTCTGGCATTAATCGCCGTTCACCGCCGTCCACCGCCGTCTGCCGCCGTTCACCGCCGGTGTTGTCTTCTCCGGCGCCTTTTTCCTCTCTGATACTTGGGTTTGGCTCGCCTCGAGGAGCGCGACCCAACCCCAGTGTTCGCTTCCTCTATCTCTGCCTCACGCGCTGCCACGCGCCACCCTCGTTCGCGGCTTCCACCGCGCGTGGGCCTCACGCGCCGCCCTCTCGGTGGCTGTTTTGCTCCAGGCCACCTCTATCCGGCTCGCCTCGTCGCCCCTGGTGCCAGATCTGCACTTTGTTTTGTGTTCTCGGTCACAAAACGTGTTGGGTTTGCGTTTTTCTCTCTGCCTCTCTCTGACAGCACGCTGGTCCCTTCTCGTTTCCTAGAAAATGTCGGGATTTGTGTCCGTATCTTTTTCGGGACTCCGACTATAACCACGTAAAAATTAAATGGGAAAAATTATTTGTCTTGGGCTTCCTCTCGTTGAACTCTGGTTTCTAGGTCAAGGAGTTCATGATCATCTAGAAGAAGATGGAAGTACTATACCGACGAGACCAGTGCTCCTCAATGGAAGAAACTGGATTATCAACTTTGTGCACTATTATGGCAATCTGTTGAACCACATATTTTGAGCACTCTTCGAGCCTTCAAGACATGTAATTCTTTTTGGAAAAAGGCTCAAAATATCTTTGCTAACGATATTCAACGACTTTATGATTCTCGCTAATAGACTAGCCTCCCTTAAGCAAGAGGATAATTCCATGATGTCCTTTGTTGTCTGAAGCTCGACCACTGTTGAAGAATTAAAAATGTTCCCGGAGGCAAGCATCATTAGAAGAAAGGAAGACGAAGCTCGGATAAATTCTATATGGTAATGATTCTTAGGGCTATGAATCCGGAGTTTAATCATGTTAGAGACCAGATTCTAACCGGAGAAGAAGTTCCTTCTACGGAGAGTTTAATCACAAGGCTACTTCGTGTTCCTTCTATCAAAAGCAAAAACAATCAGAACTTGCCGATTCTTCCGCCATGATTTCCGCTCGTGGAAGAGGTAATCACAGCCTCTAGAGGACGTGGTGGGAAAGGACATCCTCAGTGCTCTCATTGCAAAAGAATGGGACATACTAAGGAAAATTGCGTTGCTCTTCATGACTTTCCTGATAAGGCAGCTAATACCTCAAAATCTGAAGTTGATGAACCCAAGTTCTCTCATGAAGAGTATCAAGAATATTTAAGGATGAAATCAACCAATTTGGCTCAAGCATCTACAACACCAAATTCGTCAACCGCTTGCATTTCGCAATCTGTGGAAAGTCAAAAGGTGCTTCTGACCACATGTCTGGTAATACCTCTTTATTTTCCTCTCTTTCATTTCCTAAAACATCCCATCTCATATCTTTAGCTAATGGATCTAAAATAGCCTCTAAAAGAATTGGTCAAGTATCCATCTCTTCTTCTTTAAACCTTCAAAATGTTCTTTGTGTTCCTTCTTTTCCATTCAGTCTTGTTTCTGTAAGCCAATTAACCAAATCATTGAATTGCTCAGTAACCTTTAATGCCAATTGTTTTGTTATCCAGGAACGTGGTACGGGTCGATCGATTGGAGAAGGACGTGAATCTGAGGCTTATACTACCTTAGGACTAAGTCATCCGTATCTTGTGTTGCGTCTTTATCCCCAAAACTGTTACATGAGCGATTAGGGCATCCTCATTTAGCAAAATTGAAAAAAATGGTTCCCGAACTTCGAACCTTCAAACTCTTGAATGTGAATCCTGTCAACTAGGGAAACATACCAGGTCATCCTTTCCAAATCATTCTGAATCTAGATGTGATTTTGCTTTTAGTATTGTTCATTCAGATATATGGGGACCTAGTCGTGTTTCATCTTTTGGTTTTAGATATTTTGTTACTTTTATTGATGGGTTTTCTAGATGTACTTGGGTTTATCTTATGAAAGATCGTTCGAACTATTGCCTATCTTTAAGTCTTTCCTTAATGAAATCAAAACTCAATTTGGAAAAGTAATCAAAGTTTTACGAAGTGATAATGCCAAAGAGTACTTTTCTAATGATTTTTCTAATGTCCTAAATTCTCAAGGCATTTTACACCGATCCACGTGTCGTCACACACCACAGCAAAATGGTATAGCAGAACGAAAAAATAGACATTTGGTTGAAACTGCTCGTACCTTATTGCTGGGTGCCAATATGCCTATTCATCATTGGGGAGATGCTATTCTAACTGCATGCTTTCTCATTAATAGAATGCCATCTTCTTCTCTTGATAATAAAGTTCCACACTCTATTCTATTTCCAAAGGAACCAATTTTTCATGTTTCTCCTAGGGTATTTGGATGTATATGTTTTGTTCATGACATGTCTCCTGGCTTAGATAAACTCTTACCTAGAGCTATCAAATGTGTCTTCTTGGGGTATTCTCGTCTTCAAAAAGGATATCGGTGTTATTCTCCTGAAACTAAGAGGTACTACATGTCTGCTAATGTCAACCTTTTTTGAATCATCATCCTTCTTCCCTTATTCTATGCAGGATATTGATTCTGTCCAAAATGTGTTTCCTGTTCCCTTAGTTGAATCAGTTGTACCTCCTATTTCTGACCAAAATACTCTAGAATCAACATCACATCCTATCATCACCTATCAACGCAGGAACCAGGTGAACAATCCCATTCCCTAAGATGAGCCATCCATAACAGGTCCTTCACCATCATCCTCTAATACCACGGCTCCTGATAACGATGATTCCAGTTGGCCCATTGCCATTCGCAAAGGTACTCGTTCCACTCGTAATCCTCATCCCATTTACAATTTTCTTAGTTATCATAGATTGTCTCCTTCCTATTGTTCTTTTATTTCCTCTGTCTCCTCTATTACAATTCCCAAAAATGTGGTCGAAGCGCTTGATCATCCTGGATGGCGACAAGCCATGATTTCTGAAATGCAGGCTCTTGATCACAGCAAAACTTGGGAGCTTGTTCCTCTCCCTTCGGGAAAGAAAACATTTGGTTGTCGTAGGATCTATGCTATTAAAGTTGGGCCCAATGGTCAGGTTGATCGTCTTAAAGCAAGGTTAGTGGCTAAAGGGTATTCTCAAATATATGGACTTGATTATTGTGATACTTTTTCTCCAGTAGCCAAAATGACCACTGTCCGCCTGTTCCTTGCCATGGCCGCCATTCGTCATTGGCCTCTTCATCAATTGGATATTAAAAATGTTTTTTTGCACGGTGACTTAGAAGAAGAAGTTTACATGGAGCAACCTCCTGGATTTGTTGCTCAAGGGGAGTCTGGTTTGGTTTGTAAATTACGTCGATCCCTCTATGGCCTAAAACAATCTCCACGGGCTTGGTTTGGAAAATTCAGCTCTATTGTTCAAGCTTTTGGATTAAAACGCGAGTGAAGCAGATCATTCAGGATTTTATTGTCACATCGCCCTGGCAAACATGTTTATTTAATTGTGTACGTTGATGATATTGTCATCACAGGGAATGATGTTGCTAAAATATCTCAGTTAAAAGAGCACTTGTGTAGTCATTTTCAGACCAAGGATCTTGAAAATCTAAAATATTTCTTGGGTATTGAAGTAGCTCAATCAAGAGAAGGTATTGTCATCTCTCAAAGGAAGTATGCTCTAGATATTCTAAAAGAGACAGGTATGATTGATTGCAAACCTGTGGACAGTCCTATGGATCCAAATTTGAAGTTAATGGCAGGACAAGGTGAAGTTTTCTCTGACCCAGAAAGATATAGAAGACTGGTTGGGAAACTTATTTATTTGATGATTACTAGACCTGATTTGTCTTTTGCAGTTGGTGTTGTCAGCCAATTTATGCAAGCTCCTTGTGTGGATCATTGGAATGCTATCATTCGAATCTTAAGATACATTAAAAAAGCTCCAGGACAAGGATTATTATATGAAGACAAGGGAAATACCCAAATTTTTGGGTACTCGTGATGCTCGACCAGGTTGGATCTCCTATGGATAGGCGTTCCACTACAGGCTATTGTGTTTTCATTGGAGGAAATATCATTTCATGGAAAAGCAAAAAGCAAAACGTTGTTGCCCGATCCTCTCGAAGTCGAATATAGGGCAATGGCGTCTCTTACTTGTGAACTTGTTTGGGTAAAACAATTCTTGCAAGAATTGAACTTCGTGAGATTCAATCTATGAAGATGTATTGTGATAATCAAGTCTGCTCTTCACATTGCTTCCAACCCAAGTATTTCATGAGAGGACTAAGCATATTGAGATTGACTCGTCATTTTATTCGGGAGAAATTGTTGACTAAAGAAATTTGTACCGAGTTTGTTGGTTCCAATGAGCAGCTTGCGAGATGCATTAACAAAATCTTTGAGAGGACCTCGAATGGAATTCATTTGTTCCAAGCTTGGTACATTCAATTTGTATGCTCCAACTTGAGGGGGAGTGTTGAAGTATTTATTAGATTAAATGTATCTTGTTGGACATTTATGAGATTAGTTGTAGATCTAGTTCCTAGAATGCATCTGTTTATCTTCTCTAGGATTAATCATGTCTCTCTATTAATTGTATCTCTGAATCTGTATTTTTATCTCCTATAAATAAGAGAACACAAGAAGATGTTTCCAGGCTCTCAAAATCAGTTCTTTATTTTCTTTTTTCTATTTCAAGTATATCCTTGATCTTGACGGAGACAAGAGGTGTGGTTCATCCTAGGAGTGGGGTGGATATAATCTTTTGGTTTTTCATTGTTTAAGGTTATCAAATTCTGCTTTATTATTTTCCCCTTTATGTTTATGTTTATGTCCTAAACTGAAGCAAATATATCACGTGTACTGTAGTTCTACTACTTTTAAATTTAGTGTTTTCTTTCAATTTGACTGCTCAATCTTGTGGCAATTAATGTTACTTGATTTTGTTGTGGCTATTAATGTTACTTGATTAGGTATCCATCTTATCTAGTTGGCAATCCCCCTTCTCTCTCACAAATGGACACATAAATAAACCATGAAAAATTTACTTATCTGTAAGAAAAATTAAGTGGAATACAATACAACTAAAACCCTTTGCTTGGGAAGCACAAAAGTAGTGTTTCTATCATACCTGATCAAGCAGTTTATGATTTGAAAAGTAAATAATATTTTTATTGCAAGAACTATCATATTGATGGTGCATAGCCCAAAAGTTCAACATTAAACATCTAACCCATAGGATATGTTTCTCTGGACATTAGAACTAATGGAGATACTGACAGTTGTTGCCAAACACATCATATATTGTATATATGTTATATTTAAGGTTTGTGTAAATATAGAGATCATGGTTCATTCTATACCCATTACAAGTCTATATGAGATAATCACCACGAGTGGTACCATAAAATGTGGCCACACCTTTTATTCAACTACTTGCAGCTTTTAAATTTAGTTGTGGTTTAAACTATGAGAATCAATATTGTGAGTTATTATGACGACCTTCAGGCTTTTTGGTACAAAGGAGGAAATGGAAAGGATACCCACCAAAGAAAAGAAAGAAAATGAGCGAGGTGAAGTGAGTGAGTTATTATTTCTGACTAATGGAAAAGATGGGATGTTTCCATTCCTTTGTTTGGTTTCATAATGAAAAAGAAATGGAAATACGTATTGATAACTTTGAGATGGACACAAAATATGCTGGTCCACTTTATTTGTGGGACATGAGTTATTTCTCCATCATAATCTCTCCCTTACAGTGAATATACTGTTTGGCTTAACGAACGTTTTGGTATTTTTAGATCCTCTTAATGTCGTGACTTCCGTATTTTTTTTCTTTTTTGAAATAATGTATAGTGTGTTAGTGCGTAGGTTATTTCTTAAGCTCTTGAGTAAAAATGTTGTGCCATTTCAGTTTAGTTGGGACTCGAAGGAATAGTTCGTAGGCGATTCTTTAATTAGAACGCTTCTGTGGTTGTTAATATTTTTCTTAGTTTGCGCTGGATTACTCAACTGTTGCTTGCTCTGGCTTATATTTTATACAGGGGTTTGTAACCATGCTTTTCACTTCCATTGCATTAGTCGATGGCTCAAAACCCGTCAAGTTTGTCCTCTAGGTATGCAGACGTGGTTCCTTTCGTCCTCCTTTTTCTTTGGATACCGTATGGATTAAGAAGTGTACTTCTAACTTGTGTTTTTGTGCTTGTACAGATAACAGTGAGTGGGAGTTTCAGAAATACGGCCACTAGAACTTTGATGTGGTTGAGATCTCCTTGGAAATTTGCACTGTCTATCCTATCTTTTAAATATTCACAACTCTATCCGTTATTTTCTTTTGCTCGTCTACTGAATATTATTATGTTCAAGAAATCAGTTTGTCAAATGGAGTTTAATATACAATGATGGTAATATGTGAAGTTTATTTTAATGTTTTGATTTATGTGTGTCATCAGCTTCAATCTGTTGTTTTCATTTGTGCTGTTTTCGATCTGTGAGTTGGTTAATATTTCATGATAATGGCTCTATTTTAATCCTTAACCTCATTTGAGCATATTGGTATCATTATATGCTGTATTCCATGTACATTTTCATTTTTGGTGGATTGCATCCGCTGGAGGTGTTTTACATTAAGTGATGGGAGGACAAGTCTCGGTACCTAGGGGACATGGATCGTCATTTATCTCATGCAATGCTAACTTTCTTTCTCACTGATAAGAACGATATTTGTTGGATACTTGTGGTTTAGTTTTAAAGATGTTATTTTTCGAGTCGTCCGAAGTACCAAAATGGTTAATTTTGTGAATAACATGCCTTCAATTGTAGAGTAAATTGGGTCTCCCGCGGTAGACGTTTTCCAGATAGTTCATGAACAATGTGTGGTTAATATTAAGGAAGAGCGAATGAAAAATTGTAGGTGAAAAAATCTAGATCACGCAGAAGCAGAATTTGACTGAAAAATTATTGTCGACCTTTCTCGGGCCGTGCCCCTGTAACCTGTCCTAACCTTTCCTCAGAAAATCGTGCATTACAACTTAAAATCTGTTTCTTTGATAACATTATTTAATAAGTGATTCAAAGATTAATTTTTATTTTATATGCACTTCAAGGGAATATTAATGAATCTTGCTCTGATATTTTAATAAGGCGTTTTTTCTGTCACAATCAAGAGTTGACAAATAGTTTATATTTTTGCCAATTGTTAAATTATGAGAATTTATAATCGGTCCAGATTAAAATGAAATAACATTAAATTTATAACAGTTCAATGTGATAATATCTAACGAAAATACTTTCTTAATTGATCACATAATTAGTTGCAGTGTTAAAGTTCAGCTATACGGTTCTTACATTTTGATTGCGAATCTTGGCATTAGGTCTCCTGTCCATATTTCTGCTGATCGATATACATAGACTTTGGGTATTTTATTACGGCATTATTCTCATGGTTGGAAAAATATATTCATTTTAAAAGTGACTTATTATATTTTTCATTAGAAAAAGCTTTCACTGAAATTCGTCACAACCTACGGGTTCAAAATTAAATAACATGTTTTTAATATATTATATTCCAAAAAAAAATATAATGATAATGATAATTTTTTAATAATATATGTATAGTGTTTAAAATCCAACCAATCAAACTGGAAAAGATTTTAAAATTTGAAAATCATCAAAATTAAAATTTTATTGAATTTTTTAGATTAATTTCTTAAAAAATTAGTATGATGTAATTTAGATTTCAAATTAAAAATTAAAAATTGAATATATCCAACTAAAGAGTATATTTTATTTTAAGATAATATTATATATTTAGAATTAATTATTATCTAACAAATTTAAATAATTATATTTATTGATGGTTGTGTCTAAAATTTGATTATATTTTATTCATAATATATTTATGTTTATTAAAAATAAGATAATATTTTTGGATTATAATTTTTAGTTAAAAGATTGCATAATTTACAATTATAATTATAAATATAATCATATAATTATTTTATAATATATTTTTGTTAACTCATAAGGGTTGGTTTGAGAAAACTGTAATTCTTTTATTTTATTTACAAAGGAGCCAAGTTTTCAGGCTTAATTCTATAACTGATAAACTGAAAAAATAGTGAAGTACCCGTGCTAATTGCATAATCCTAAATATGAAATAAAAAAGCATCTAAACGTGTGTAACATAAAACAACTTATTTAAAAAATAAAACTGATAAAAGAAAATCAATATTTGCTCTTTGTCATGTGCAGCCTACATCATTCAACAAAATGTGTTGTCTATTTGCCCTTTGATGTATTGAAAGTTGTGTCATTCACTTTGAAAATATTGAAACACTAAAAAATAATAACACTTTTATTTATAGGTTATTTAGCTTATGTGTTTCTTTTTTCTTTCTTCATGTAGTTTCGTCTCAAAAAATATTTCTTTCCTGCTCACGACCAATATTTTTTTCATTTTGTACAACCTTTAATATTTTTTTTTATGAGAATTATGATTATTCATTCGTTGCTCATGCACTAAAAGATTATTTTGGAACTCATTTATAATCATGAATCTAAATTACGAGATTGAACGAAGGATCTTTTCAATAATACTCAGGTCAAACATTGTTTGATTATGCATTCTTATCTTATTTTTATCTTATTTGTAATAATTGAGATTCAAGTAAAATAATCTATTCTTCATTTCTAAAATCTCTTATTCACATAATAGGATATCTAGTTAAGCGTACTTTACTCTCGCGTAACCTTAGAATTTTTGTTTCAATCAGTTTCAACTTTTTTTTGAGGCTTCATTTTTTCGAGATTGTTTCAAACACATTTTAATGGATAGCTTGAAATAAATATTTTTTTCGTCTTTAAAATTTTCAACTTCAACTCCTTCCCATTTTTCTTTTCATTATTTGATATGACAACCTCACAAGTATGTTACGAAATTCTTATATTTATGAGATTCTAATCCTCCTTTGACCTTGTGAAATTATTTACGAGCATTGTCCCATTGTTCAGCCGTAATGTTTATTCAATCTTGAGAAGACAGGCGAAATTACTAGTTGTATTCGTCAATATTAAAGTTTGTTGCTTCTTTTCACTTAAGTCAACCAGCATTAATACCAGTTGTTAAGTCCCAAAGACTTAATTGAGAAAAGTGTGATTCTCTAATCTTATTCACAAAAATAAGAGGATTCAAGTTTATAAGCTTAATAACTCTATAATTAATAAACTAAAAAAATAACCAACTAGTCATACTAATAATGCAATCCTAAGCATAAAATTAGAAAGCGGTGCGTAACAGAAAACAACTTATTTAAAAAACAAAACTCTAAAGATAAAACTGTTTATTCTTTAAAATACTCGCCACAGTCAACAATTTTTTTATTTAATTTTTTAATTATAAAATGTTTAATAAATTTTTAAGATAATATTTTATAACTAAAAAAAAACTATTTAACAATGAACGGTAAAAAATTGAAAAACCAATCAGAAACTAATAATGATATCTATTTTAGTTCGAATTTTATATTAAAGTAAAATTAAATTAAATCAAATTATATTTAATTTGAAAAATTATTAGATGAAAAGTAAACTAAATTAAGTGACAAACACCGACACTTATTGGCGGTTTGTTAACATGCTTATCATTGTCATACACCTCTTTCGGTTAAACACACCTTTCTGTTTTTAATTATCTAAACTACTAATTTTTTTATTTAGAAAATATGATTTGTTTATAGCCTTTCACATTTACTATTTAGAGTTTTTTTTTTTTTTTTTTAAACTTGAGAGATCAAAATACTTTCATTTTAATTAAAAAGATTTGAATCAAATTCACCCAGAACTTGAGAAATTTAAAAAACTAAGACTTAGTATCTTTTTTTTAGTCTCTTGAAAAATTAATACAGATTAATATTAGTTCTTATAAAAATAATTTTATTTATCAATAATTAAAGTTTTTATGTGATGTTCGTTTACTAAGGTGCTTAGTGAAAAAATATTTATTTACTTTAAATTGAACTTTTGAGATCAGTAATAGTAATTTTAGATTTTGAAGAGATTCAAGCATATATATATAATATATATATATATATATATATATATATATATATATATATATATATATATATATATATATATCAAAATTAAGCATCAATATTTTATGGAGACAAAAATATAATTGTAAAATTTAGAGGAATAAAAAATAAAACAGATTTATAGGAAAAAAAATTATTTACAAAGACTAAACAAAATACTTAAAGCTAAAACATAATTAAGCTTTTATTTTGTAACTAAATCTAGTTGGGTTGCTTGACCAAATTCTAGCTAACTTTGTGCAGAAATAAGCAACTTTAACTTCTCTGCTTGACCTAAAAGAGAAAAATAAAAAGAAAATGTCTCGTAAAATTAAGATCTACTTTGCAATATGTATTTTCAAATAAATAATACCGTATGAGACAAAACATTATGTATTAAGTTAAAAAGTTATATTATCAATATATATATATATATATATATATATATATATTTTTTTTTTTTTAAATATAAAACATTAAAATATATTCCTTTATTTCAAAATATATTTTGTTTTTTTTATAGTAGATTTTGTTAACGACATATCATGATTAAAAAAAATTTAAAAATGTATTAATTACTCTTTTATTAATTATATTTTTAATTTTTTAATTATATTTATTATACAAAGATAAAAACAACAAAATATTGATAAAAAGTTAATAAATTTATTAAAAGTAATAAAAATTAATATTTATATTAATTTATATAATCAAATTTTAAACGTCGTAAAAGTAATTTACATCGACTTAAAATATAATGAATCTAATTCAAAAATAATCAAGCATGATTTTTTAGACTCGAACTCGAACACTCCCAATTGGACATCTTAATCGAATATATGTTTCTCTAAGGTTCTTTCCCAAAGAATAACACCAACGTTATGCCTTATCAAATTATTTTAACAAGTTGTTGTTGGTAAGAGTAATATTCTCAAATTGGAATCTTGGAAATAAAAAAAGAAGTAATTTTGATAAAAAAAAAGAACTTTTATTGAAACTGTTAGGCTAGATTCTCTCTATATATAAAATACTTTTTGAATAATAAATAAATATTTTATAATTAATATAAAAAATGAAGCTATGGTGATGGGCAACTAACCAATTGAAAAGTATGAAGAGTTGGTAGCCATTCATTGCACAGCTTCTTGTGTTCTATGATTGATTACTTACGAGAGGTGGCAACTTCTATTCATTAAAAATTTAATTATATTTTAAATATTTAATAACGAAATATCATATTAAAAAGATGAGTTTAAACCCAATTTAACTTATAAAATGAATGTTTAAAGTGAACGTTACATTTATATAACTTATGTTAATAATATAAACAATCAATGGAGCATCTCGACCAAAAGTGTTAAAATTACTTAAAAATCAATTTATATAAATTAAATAAGAGGGGTAAGAAATGTAGGGAAAGTTAATTTTTTAATGTGCTTTAATGAACTAATTTTACTTTTTTTTTCAATTAGTTGTGTCTACATTTTATATGAAAAAAAGAGAGTAAAATGTGGATAAATATACATTCATATGAAACACATAATCAAGCTCTGTTTTAAAAAGAAAAAGAATTATTGAGAAAAAAGAGTTTTTTAAGTATATTTCTAAAGATTAAGATTTTATTAACCATCCTTTTATCAATTATATTTATATCTTTTAATTAATTAGATTTATAAGAGAGGAAATAATAAGTTATTACGAGTGATTTTATATGGAAAATATTACAAGAGAAGATAATAAGTTATTAAGAGTGATTTTATATGGAAAGTATTAAGATGATAAGGATATTAATAAAATAAAATTAATAAATTTATTAAAAATAATAAAAAATAAATAATTATTTTGATTTGTATAACTCAACTTTGATTTATATTAAAAAAAAGTATATAGTAAAAAAAGTTATGAATTTTTTTAATAATAAATAGTTAAAAGTTATTTTTAAAATAATAAATAAAGTTATTAAAAATAAATATTTTATTTTATTTTATTTTTATGTATTTTCAATTATTTCAACCCATTTTTATTCCCTTTCTTTTAATCTTTACTCGAATTAAAAGTATATTTGAAAAAGTGAAAAAAAGAAGTAAAAGTAAAATAAAAAAATGATATTATTTTTATTAAAAAAATAAGTGAAAAAGTAAAAAAAAAATTATATATTTTTATTCTCTTTCTTTTAATCTGAATTAAAAGTATAATTGAAAAAGTGAAAAAAAAGTAAAAGTAAAAGAACAATAAAAAATGAAATTACTTTATTAAAAAAAAGTGAAAAAGTAAAAAAAAAGTTATATATTTTTAATTATTTTAATGTTATTAAATTATTTATTATTATTACAATATAATAGTAAAAACAGTTTTTTTTTTAAATTCAAATCTAAGATAATAAATTATTATAAATATTCTAAAATTCTCACTTTCACAAAATAAATTACTATTAAAATTTAACATAAGTTCATTAAAAAAATATAATTTTCTTGATATTTTTTAATATATGAACTTTTCGTTTCTAAAAACAATATAATAATAATGTAAAGGAAAGGTTGATAGACAACTTTTTTTACCAAACAACGAATAATAAATTTTAATTAATTTTATTTTAATTAAATCACTATTCATAAATAAGATTACCTAAGGAATATATTTTTGAATTCGGCCGTCAATATATAACGACTATTTGAACCAAACATAAAGTTTGAAATTAAATGTTTGAAGATAAAAACAGAGTTGAAATGGAGATTTCATTGAAGACAACCAATCGTGTTGCTGATCACATGTTAATTGCCAACAGAATCAACGACACATGAACTAACACTGTAGTCATCGAAAGAATAGAGAGGATATTATATTTGTATATTCAGTTTTATCTTTGACTTTCATCCTATTTTTTATTTTCATTACATCATTTATTTTTATCTCTTTTATTTATTTGTTTCACCGAAAACAGAACACTTGATTTGTACGATGAACTTTCTGAAACGAATATACCACCATTAGCGTCCTTATGAAGCGCAGAGGTCAACAGTTTCTCTCTCTACGATTCCTTTTCTTTGTTTGTGTTTTTTCTGTGCACGTTTCTTCTCTCCTCTTTCTATGTTTGGTTTTCAGTTAGAGTTTGAACAGTTACCCTAACTTCCTCAACACCCTCTGCCCCACCTCAAGAATCTACGCTATGTATGCCCTCTCTTTCGCTATTCTTCTCTCTAACTTTCGGTTATGAATCTACCAAAGCTTTTTCTCAACCTCTCACCAAACATTATATCATTATCATTAAAAAATATAATCACTTGCATTAGGAAAATAGTAAGTTAGGATTATATTTTGGGTACAGGAATCTTTAGGATTAAATATGTTAAGTTTGTAAATTTCATTTATCGAATTTAACCTCTTTATGATCGAATATATGTTTTAAAAATGATTTGTTTGTTTTAATAGACCTTCCATGGACTCAAACCTATTTATAAATATCAAATAATATTTTTTAATAATATGCAATGATTATTTCTCTTTCAGCATATTTGTTTTGTTTTACCATGTTCAAAATAACATTACTAGAATTAGAATACTCTTACCATATGATTAAGTGATGCAAGTCTCTTCAACTCATGTGAATCAATGTTTACAAAAATTATTTTTACTTGATTTTATGAAAAAACTGCAAACATATAATATAAACAGAATAATAATAATTACAAGATAAAAAAACATAAAAAAAAATATGAAGGGAATATTTATTATTATTAAAATGATTATTGTGTTATTATACATTGTAGATTAGTATTATTATTATTGTGGTGCTCTATATAATATGTATGGTGGTGTTGTTAAGAGTTTGACTAATGGATCATTCTCTGAATCGTTCATCAAGGAGCAGAGTAGTAGTTGGCAGCAAAAACCCAAGTGGTTCTGATGAGGAAAGTGGATGGACATCTTACTTGGAAGACTTCTCCAAAGGCATAGAGCCCAGTTATTGTTCCAGTTTGGATGGTTCCTCTTTGCTCTCAGATGCTGCTTCTTCTGCTGCATGCAAATTTTCTCATCATCTTCTTTCTTCCCCGTCTTTCAAAGGTAGTAATACCACTGCCCCAAATCTACCCAACAAGTTGAGTTTCAAGAAAGCAAGAACCAAACAGATATCAGAGTATGACCCTTTGGAAGACACTGCTAGTTCTCCAGTCAATAGCCCCAAGGTATACTTTAAAACAACCAATTTCTTATGACTTGATTTTTATTTTTCTTTCCCTTTTTCAGCAATCATATGCTAAGACCCTTTCCTTTCATTTTTTTGTAATATCTTTATTAATTATTATCTGCAGGTGAGAGACTTGAATCCAGCTGAAATCAGTCCTAGAAAGGTTGATGATCAACTAGGAGGTTCTATGGTAAACCTGGATTAATATATAATGCTTTCATGGCCATTGGTCTTTAATTTCATCTGACAAATTGTATGTATGGTGTCATGATATATATCATTGTGTGTAGGGTAAGGGGTTCACATCATCAGAGCATTATTCAGAGGATGATAACAAGCATGAATTAAAATTTAATGGAAAGAACATCGATTGCACAGACTTGAAGAAAAGGGGGTTATGCCTTGTTCCTTTGTCTTTGTTGGTTAATTATTTGGGGTGACTGATACTACTGTCTATACACCTTCCCTCTCTCTCTCTCTCTCTCTCTCTCTCTCTCTCTCTCTCTCTCTGTATATCTGTCCCTCCTTGTCTCCTTTTCTCTGTGTTCTTCTATGTGCTCAAGATGTGGAACTGTATATTAAAGAGCATGATCAGTGAGTGACTGTGATGTATAATCTGTATGAGACTATATGTGTATATTAATTAATCCTATAGTTAGCAGTTTCATAAATTTGTGTTTGTTGCTTATTTTTTCTTGAAGAAACTTAAATAACTCTAGTGTTTCAGTTTTCAGATTCTTCATGATGATTGATTAAGAACTCTTATCTGTAATATAAAAAAGCAAAACAAAAAGGGTATGGCATAATTAAGATAATGTTCCACAATCATGTGGACGACATTGCTATGAAACTTGAAATTAACAATCTAATGTGGTTTTTGATAAATTAATGACATAGGGATAGAGAACATCATTCATGCTGGTTATTTGTAATGAGTACAGGTAGAAAAAAAAAAAGAAAAAAGAATAGGTATATATTTAATAGTTGAAGTGACCCTGGTGGGTCATATATGGTGTAAGTTGGCTCAACGTTGAACTCATAATAATAGTTACCAAAAATAGTATGATGGCAGTTTCAGATTTTCAACAGGAATATGTATATTGATTAGTGATGACGATCAATAGTGAATTTTGACGTAGCTTTTATAACGTGATATTTGGATTTTTTTTTTCTAATATATTTTTTAGGGTCTTTCAGATTTAGGTTAGATTAGTCATTGTATAATTTCATATTTAATTTGATTTTATAAATTAGCTTGTAAAGTAAGAAAAAAAAATCTTATTTATATACTTTTTTTTGTTAGATGAACCTTGATTTTTCTTTTTTCCCCAAATGGATGTTGAGTTAAAACATTAGCGACATAACTTATGTTTCACTTGTGTTAGAAATGTTTTGTTCAATGATATCAAATTTATTATTATTATTATTATTACTATTATTATTATTATATATATTTAATTCAAATGGTACTATTGACAAAAAGATGAAAATAGAAAACAAATAGTTAGTACAAATATTCGTGTGTACCCATTTAATTTTTTTGTTAATTACTGTTGAAATGAAATTTGGTATGTCATGATTTCTCACAAACCATGATGTGTGGTTTCAAAAATCCAACCGAACTACAAATAGATGTAATTATTATCTAATTTAATGTTTTTACATATGATAAAATATCACTTTTATATCCATTTTTGTAAGTTAATAACAAAAAAATTCAAATTAGTCTTTTTTTTTTTTTAAATTACATTCTTATCTTATCACTTAACACGAAAGATTCGACATGCATCAACACTAAAATTTTATGAGAGAAAAAAAATCAAAGAAAATTAGACAACTATTTTAATAGGCAAAAGAAAAAGAGAACGTGCAAGTCGTTGATTCCTGTTGCGTGTCATGCGATTATTATTTTTTGATGATATTAAATAAATAAAATTATTGAATTTTTAAAATTATATTATTAGAAAAAATAGCATTAGTACCAGAGACTTATCTGTACAAAATAATTTGCTTTGAATAGTTTATTTTTTTCTTTATGATATAATAATAATGTAACTTTACATTTGAATAATTTGTTAATCAATATCCATAGTTAGAACAAACAAATTTTCCGGTCTATTTAATTAATGTTCGATTTCATTAAACAATTGATTAATTATATGCTATTAAATATCTTCATGGACACGCTGATAATTAAACAACAAACATGCATTGTTCTACAAATATGCTATTCGTTTAATATATAACGTTGATTCCTTATATAGTATTAATTATCGATTGTTTATTCAAGGAAAAAAGTCTATAAGTTTCTTTTGTATTAATTCTTTGCAATGATAATATCTTTTTTAAAAATAAATAATGGAATGGATTTCTACGAAGCCAATAAAGAAAGTACTCACTTTCTTATATTCTTTTATACACAACAGAATAAAGTTAGGATGTCTTAAAATTCGTTTAATTCTTTTTTTTTTTAATAATAATTTAGAAGATTTTGTTTTATTCCTCAATTTTATTCATTAAAATTCATATTTTATATGTTGTCTGCCTAAAGTTTAAATATAAATATTACTATTTATTTTTAAAATTTTCTTAGATGAGTTAAGAAAACAAAATAAAATTATATATATATATATATATATATATATATATATACATACATATATATATATATGTATATATATATATATGTATATATATATATATATATATATATATATATATATTACAATAACCCTTAAATTGCATAAGATATAATATTGTAATTCATATTCAATCAAAATTCTATAATATTTTAAAAATATTGTAATATATTCTATATATATTATTACAATAATTATACATTAATGATTAGTGAGAGATTTTATTATCAAAGTTTTGTAATTTATACTTTTGACCTTTTAAATTTAATAATAATTAAATATATCTCTTTATATATTTACAATTTTAATTTATCATCTTTTTATCTTCTATTTTTCATATTTACTTATTATTTATTAAAAATAATTATTTGGACCCTTCAAATAAAGATCCACTATTGATAATGATATTTTTGTTTAATTATAATATTTTAAATATGATATTCTATATATTTTTTAAGCGTATCAAAACAAGTCTATCTGAATTATTGGTCCAAAAATCTGAAAAAATAGACTAATAAAACAATTATAACTTAAATTACATCGTCCCAATTTTAGTTTAACTAGTTTAACCTTTGACCTAAATGAAATTAAAAGATAATCCAATTGTTTACGAGTAAATTTATTTTATAAAGTAATAATTAATTTTACAAATAAAAATAATAATACTATTTTATTATATATTATAGTTGAGAATAATCCATTTACTTAAAAATTATTGTGACGTTTTTTTTTATTTGTATAAGAGTAGGAGGTCAAAAAAATATTACATATATGTAAAAGTAATTTACATAACTATATAAGATATACAATAGAAGAAGGAATTTTATTTTTGATTCCTTCTATTTTTTTTTCTACGATTTTACAAGTATCTACATTGTCGGTGGAAACAAACTAATTAAGGGGTTTTGGAAAAAGGTAGGAGGCATACAAAAGGTAACCACTATTGGCCCCATCTAACATAATGAGATTTCCCATATCAGATACAAATGTTATTATTGAAAATCCTGTCCCTCTAAAAGTAACCGAATTGTCTATAACATTTGTGTTCCAAGTAGTTTCCGGAAAGAAGGCAGTGATGCTTGCAGAGAAGGGATTTGGAATATTTGGCGCCTCCATCTACTTAAGTTAATTTTTAAATAAAACATGCACAAAAGATCAAAATAGGGAGTGAGAACATTTATCAATTACAATAATACAATCTTATAATATATAGATATATATGTTTCAACTTTCTCGACACATTCTATTTTATGAAGATTTAAATTAAACTTGTAGTGACTAGTCAGGATAAATGAGTTCAATTTTAATCACTCTCACAAGTAATATTTACTCATTTAAATCCCCAAGGTCCAACCTCCATCTACAATATCATCAAATCTTCACAAATAGATATTATTGTAATTGAATAATATAACTATAGATTAATAAATAAGATCGTTGCATTACTAGAGATAAAATAAAGTAAACAAACAATACCAGTACGTAACTGGAGATAATTAAAATAAGACCAGTGCAAGACTGAAGATAAAATAAAATAAACAAACAGGATCAGTACATAACTGGAGATAATTAAAATAGGACCAATGCAAGACTGGAGATAAAATAAAATGAACAAACAGGACCAGTACATAACCTGGAGATAATTAAAATAGGACCAAGTGCAAGACTGGAGATAAAATAAAATAAACAAACAGGACCAAGACATAACCTGGAGATAATTAAAATAGGACCAGGACTCGGAGATAAAATAAACAAACATAATATTCTCCTCCCCTACCTTAAGAGCTGCAGATGAAGTACCAAAATTTTTGTAGAGACAATTATTTTTTTCTTCCTTCTCTTTTTCCCTCTCTCTTTCTTTCTCTTTCTCTCTCCTTCTTTCTCTCTTCTCTCTCTCTTCTTCTTTCTCTCTCTTCCTTTCTTCCCTTTCTCTCTACCGATCCTTCCCCCTACCCTTTTTATAACAATTTTTTTTTCTTTTTATTTATTTAATTACGTAATCATAAATGCAATAATTATGATTTTGATAATGTTTATCTTTTAAGATAAGATAATGTTTATCTTTTACATTAATTGAGATGTTACAATTATGAGTTAGAATAGTATATTAAAGGATAAACAAATGATGAGAGTAAGGATAAGTATCTAATTCTTATTTTTATTCTTTTAGTAAGTAGATTTCTTTTTTGTTATAATTTATATATCAAATTGTTATATTTAAATTTTAAATTAATTTTATTAATATAATTTGATTTATATATATATATATATATTCAATTTTTTTTTTTTTTTTTGAAATTATATTTTTTACAAAGACACTTATGATTTTTTTTTAAATTTTAATCAGTTAACCTAATAAAAAATAAAACTAAAAAATTATGATATATTTTAAAATATAAATTAGCTTGAGTTACTGATGTTGACAACTCTAATATTTATTTTGAAATATATTTTATACTTTTATAATTTCACAATTAATTATTATGAAATATTGATATAGACATATATTATATCCATAAATTGAGTTGATCAGGTTGAATTTAGGTTCAAATTTAATGAATTTATCAAATGATCTATTAGGTATACAAAAAGATCATCCTATCTTATAAATATAGTATTATTATACATTAATTAGACTATCAATACAGCCTGAGTATATTTTTGAATCATTACCTAAATATTAACAATACTCACAATTTAAGAGTATCTTCCTGATAAACTACCAACCAATCTCAAACGAATAATCTTAGACAAACGTATAATCATAGACTCTACCTCAGAAAACATATATTTTATCACGT